CCCCAAAACCCCAAAACCCCAAAACCCCATTTATAAAATGTTTTGAAATTTGCTCAAAATAATTTGCAATATAAATTACCAACAAAAATGGATCTAGGAGCTGGACTTGCAGCAGCACAGGCGAATCAGAAGGAAATGGTTTGCAACCTCACTTCATGGGAAGAGTTTTGGGAATCTCTGGACAAATACACTGCTCTTTGCTCAGACCCAACTTCCAAATTAGTCTTTGTAGATGATGAGCAGCAGAATGTTTACTCATGGATACACAAGAATGCAGATGAAATGGTTGAGAAGATTGATGAGAAGACAGATTTGAAGGAGATTAGTGAAATTCTTCTTAAATTCGACCAGAAACTCACCCACTATCAGAAATTTTATAAGGACCACGGAAGTGACCTGTTTGAGAAGTTCTTTAGAATGCAGTTGATGGACCACCCTTCTTGTGTAGTGGATTTTGACAAGACTATTCAAGATATAGTTAAGGAGGAAGGCGAGAATGAACAAAAACTTATCAACAGAGTTATTGACAACATCCTCCTCAAGATTATTGACCACTCAGATGGCCAAGAGATGCTCGTGTGCATGGTCTCTGTCATGTTTGAAGGAAAGCAACACTCTATTGTGGTTATGAAATCCTTGCTTATATTTTCGAAAATCTTTACCAAAGCTAAGGAGAATCAAGCGAAGTATCTTCAAGGCTCGTTATACACTCTTGGAGCTCTCCTCAAAGTTGAAGCTAGGTCTTACCTCTGCTCAAAGGATGAAAGAGACTTGATTTCAGAAGATTGCAAGGAAGAAGAGGATAAACATTTCGAAGTCAAAATTAGAGATTTAAGCCAGTGCGAGATAAATCATTTCGAGAATGAACTCCAGCATACGCTCAGCAGGTTTGTAGAGTCCTTAGTTGATATCAAGGATATTAGGAATGGAATACAGCAAAGCACCATGAGTCTTCACAGCGAGATTATCCAAGAGGATTTCTTAGAGAAATATGACCAAGAAAATAAGATAAATCATGTGAATTTGATGAGAAGTGAAGCCTCAAATACTGCTTTATTGTTCTTACTCGACTTGTTGCAGTTCTTCTATCAGTTCTTAGCAAAGGCTAACCAGAGACCATTGGAAGGAGGTCGGTACTCAGTTGAAGGAGAGTCTAAATATGCTAGGCTATACAATACCTTGCCTGCATATATGAACCATACATTTGAGTACACTGTGAATGACAGTGTGTTCTTAGTCCAGAATATTTTGAAGGCTATCAGTGCTATTTCTCCAAACCCAGCTCATACCTTAGAACTGTGGCATCTTAGGAGACATATTGAGGTCTTAACCAATATTGATTCTAGTGAATCTGCCAGAGAGGAGCAAAGCTATGAGAGGACAGATAAATTCAACTCTATAGGCCTTTTAATGTACATGTATTGGAGTCTTAAACCCAGGATTAACTCTACTGTTGAAGAGGAGTACAGAATTGGCAGATTCACTGAATTAGAAGGTTTTGAGAGCCCTCTTCCAGAAACTACGACCAGAGAGTTCGAATTTGAAATCTTATTTCCATTGATTTGTAATGCAATGAAAGGGAAAGTGTCTTATCCTGTTGTATTTGATGTCTCAATGGAGATTCTTTCGTACTTTGTCAGAGTTGTGAATCCTAAGAAACTCCAGTTCCCTGGCTGCAAAGTTTCAATAGCTGGAAATGCTTATAATGCGTACAAGGAGCTATTGCAACACTTGATGGAGTACATTGGTAACCAATCCGTTGGTACAGAGGAGAAGAGCAAAGTTGTTCTTGAGCTCTTCAAGAAGCTGCTTGGTCTCTACCCTCCAAGCAACATGGAAGATATCATGTTTGATCTTATTGTAGAATCAAAGCATGACAAAGAAAGAGGGCTTCTAGTTGACTTGTACAAGAACATTCTCCTCAAAGCAAATCAAGAAAGTGGGGAAGGCATGAGTGTAATCCAGCAGTTCAAGGATCACCTGAGGTTGCTCATCGACCACCACTTTGACACTGACAAGGAATACATTTTCGACATCACAGAGAGAATCATCTCTACTCTTAATTTATGGCGATCTCTGTATAGCATTGAAAAACAGAGAGATGAGATCTGTGAGACTGCAAAGAAGCTTCATGAGCAAGTGTCACAGAAGAACTGCACTGATATTTCAAATCTTGTTGATAGCCTTGAGCCTGGCTTAGTGAAAGAAAAGGAAGATGCCCTTTCGAATCCAAACCTTGGCGATGACAATAAGACGCAGATGCAATGTCACTGGGACAGCAATTTGATGAAGCTTATGATTATCAGAGAGGTTGTAGCTTGTATAAGAGAAATGTAGGCTCAATTTTAGCACTTTAGCTCCAACTAGTCAATATTAAGCCTCAACATCTAAGATTACTATTGGGGTTTTGGGGTTTTGGGGTTTTGGGGTTTTGGGG